AATGCATTTGGGGAAAGCTAGGTGAACTGCAAACTGTTTTTAACAGGAAAGGGGTGGGCTTCATTGACAAAGAAGGCTGAGAAAGGTTAGGTTAAAGGAAAATAAGTAGGCTATAGTATACAGGTATTTGCAGAATCTTTCAATATACCCATGTGCATTCTGAAGCTTCAGGAGGCAGACACAGGATGCAGTATTCTCTAAAAGTCTTTGACTATGGAGTCCTTCAGTGCTGCTGTGTCCACTGTGCAGTTTTTGTGCTATACAGAGGCATCTAGTCAAGGGCACTACTGGAAGCTGAAAGGTGGGTGTCCTGTGCTCTGCTTGCCAAAGCAGGTGTCTGTGGGGCTGGGTTCACCCAGAGGGGTTGCCTTCTGGTTTTTGCTTGTCTATTTGTTTGTCTTCCAAGAATAGGCTTCATTTTCTAATTTTCATAAGGATGCTGTGCAGTTGGCAGAGTCTCCCGAACCCCTTATGGTGGAGCACTGGGGATGGATGTGTTTGTGTGTGTGAGGGAAGATGTATGCAGGGCACAAGAGTGTTCTAGGGAATTGCTGGGCACATCTTGTATCAGGCAAAGCTGTAGCCCTGGGAAGGATCCCTGTTAGCAACAGCAGTGTAATTGCCAGTGACTAAATATTTGTGGCCCCCAAATATGTATGTTGAAACTTAATCCCCAGTGTGATAGTATTAGGAGATGGGGCCTTCAGGAGGCGTTAGGTCACAAGGGTGAAGTCCTCATGAACGGATTAGTACCGTTGGAAAAGAGACCTCAGCGAGCTTGCTTCTCCCTTCCACCATGAGAGGCCACAGTAAGAGGAGGGCCATCTACGAACCAGACAGCAGGCTCTGCCCAGACACTGAATCTGTTGCTGTCTTGACCATAGACTTCCCAGCCTCCAGAACTGTGAAAAACAAACTTCTGCTGTTTATAAGCCACTCAGTCTATGGTATTTTTGTTATAGTAGCTCGAATGGGTTAAGACAGGAACCTAAGTGTTGGTCCCTATGGCTGCCACACCCTGGAATTCATTAAGGACGAGGAATCTTGGGAAGCACAGTAGAACCCTATTGCTGTAACTGAGCCCCCATAGCTGAGGTCCCAGTCTTGACTGGATTCTGACCCTCTAGGAAATTGAGTTTGAGGCTGTGCTTTCCTATTTGGTCATGATAGGCCTTGGGGGATCCAGGTTGGAGGTCTGGGCAAAGGTAGGGAAGGAGCTGACAGACTGCCAAAGGATGAGGCATATACTCTAAAAGCCCAAGAACTCAGAGAGGGAGCCGCTGGTGGGCCAGATAGGCCAGAAAGCCTTCAGAGAGAAGTTGAGCTGGGCACTGAACGGACGCATCTATTAACTCTCACCTCACCTCTGCGCTTCCTCTGCTCAGAGGTCACTGGGGTTCAGAATGAAAAGAATACTGGAGCACTAAGGGATTATGAGATTCCTTCTGAATCAATTCAAAATGAGTAAATTGTTTTTGATATTGCCTAGTCTTATGTATTTATATTCGAATTCTCTGAAAACTGGTACTCCATGTGGGATACTTCTAAGAAGATAGGACTAATCACAACACACCAACTCATGGCCATGATTGTAATGGAAAACAGGGTTTACTAGATAAACATGCTTCTAGGATTACAAAATTGGTGGCATTAAAGCCAAATGGCTCATAAATAAAAGTAATTCTGTATGTCAGCTTGCTATCTGTGTCTTGCCTTCTAATACATATATATTTATATATCATGTGTTATTGTTTTCTGTTTATAAAAGATACATGACCATTGTAGAAAATTTGGAAAATACAAAAAACACAAAAGAGAAAATAAAGAACACCTTAATACCTCTGTTCACAATTATAATTTTGGTGAATATATTTTATACACCTTTATAATAAATATGTATTTTATCTTTATAGATTGCTCATGTATGAATATATATTTTATACATTTTGTTTTTTAGTTGCACCTTTTTATAGGTTCAAAAATAAAATTGGAATCTCCTATCTATGTTGTTTTTTTTTTAAACTTTTAAAAATCACTTATCTATGTATTGTATATACTTTCCATGTTTTTAAATGTTACTTTATAATGTGGCTGTGCAGTATGTCATTGTGTGGATAAACTATATTTTACTTAATATACCCCCTGTTGTGGGGTATTTAGATTGTTTTAAATTTTTCTCGATTATACAAAACTCAGTGATGCACCCGTTTTCCCCCTACATCTCTGTTTCCCAGGAGCCTCTCACATCTTTTCCTTATAGCTTAATAGCACCACAAATCCTGAAGTAGTCACTGCTGGAAATAATTATTTTCCAAAGAGGAACAAGATACCAGGTATGACTCACCTTTACGTATATGAGTGTCATATACTAAGATCAACAATGCAAAATGTCACGTTGCTAATACTTGGCTTTAAAGTATTACTTTTCCTGACAACATAAGAAAATGGAAAATAAAAAGTAGGTTTAACACAACACGTATATAAAGTAGAAATGTTTCTTGTTCAAATCAGCTATGTCCTGAGCTTCTAGATCACTTTTCTGTGGTTGTATTCCTTTTCTTGACACGAAACTTTCCAAGGACAGAGTCATGGAGAGAGGCCAAGCTCACCTAAGCAAGACAGTTAAGTCAAATACGTGGCGTTCCTCAAGTGCTGTTTCTAAGTGCCCTGCACCACATCTCTAACCTGTGAGGCAATGTAACGTGGCCTGTGAAGGAAGAAGAACTTTTGCAGAACCATGGCCAAAAGAGTCTAATTTATAGGCAAAAGGACTCCTAGTTGGCCTTCTTGATGAAAGGCTGCACCAACCACCTGGAATTTTTTGCCAAAGAGAGGTCTCTCTGGTGTCTTTTTGAAACACAGGCCCGTGAATAGAAGCCTGAATGTTTCAATCAAACAAAGACAGTAAGGCACAGAAAAACAGCACAAAATCAAGGTGAGTTGTTTCACATGAACACAGACCACCTATGACTGCCAGAGACTTCTCCTTGAAGAGCCTGAATGGTGGAGTGGCTCAGCTGTAGGATACTTGGATGTAGAGCCATCTCTGAAGCTTAAGTTGCCTTTCTTCACCTTCAATCACCCGGTTCCGAAACGCTCATGATTCTGTCCTGTTCTTATACCACCTTCATTGTGACTTAATATTTCTCTTTTAATGGACTTACAGTTTCACTTAAACAGAGTTAGCCTTCTCCTAAGAGACAATATCATGGAATCATGAGATCATGTGCTGGTTATATTTTTATATATGTGTAAATGTTAAAATTAAAAAAATTGTTATTGTACCCCCAAACATGATCTTTTCCCTCACTGAGACCATGCAGTCCACACTTGAGGAAGTACAAGTTTAAGGAAAGGTCTTTTAGGACAAATACAGAAAATATGACTGTTTATGATAGAGAGAGAACATTTGAGACTTGTTTTTCTGAATACCTTTTGGACTAAATGAAGCCAGGTTTAAGATCTGGACACATGTCTGGAGGTCTGAGCCACAATGAGCTGTTCAGTTAGGGGTATTCAAGATACTAACTTGACTCCCTGATGTCAGATGGCCCCATCAACACTGGGTTCTACATTTTATAATCTTAGCACAGATTGAATATTAGCCCATGTGGATCTTTGTTCTGACTCAATATTAGATCCTTTGTCTCTGGGCTTACCTTCCTGTTTATGGAGAAGAAATTCCTTAGGCAATATCCCTAAATAGCTGAACTGGAAATCCCTCTTTATGCCGTTTGGAAGCCCTGCTGACCAACACCCACAGCACTACCAGATATTCAGCAGTCCCGGATGATAACCAACCTGTACCCTGGGGCACCTGAGCAGTCCTGGCCCCACCACAAATTTTTTGTATCCTTCCGAAGAGTAAGCTGTGTTTCTCCCCAAATCTCTTTAGTGAATTTATTCATTCATGCAATTCACAACTTAAATAAAATATAAATCAGAGATATATGGATGCAAAAAGAGTTGTTTCTATGACAGCTAAATTAATTCTGTGGAAACACACAGGTTTGTTGCTAAAAATGGCTGTGTGGATAGGACGATCGTAACTGAAGGAGCCTGCTCTCTGATGGTCTCTTGGATGCCTTGCATTTTCTCTTCACCTCCAAGACTGGAAACTGTAGATAAGCAATATGGCAGTGGTTCACGCACAAAAGACGTGTGTTGTTTTATTTCTGTATTTGTTCAAAATGCTTAAAGTATATGCTATTTTATATTTATTTCCTTATGTTTCCCTGCTTTAGCCAATTTTTAAAATTAACCAACTACTCGTCCATCAGAGCCTTCCTATGGGTACACATGATGGCTCTTTTCACGGCTGTGCATGAACTGTATGTTGTATGTATCTTGGCCTTGGCCTGTCTCATGAGATGTTGGCTTCCCAAGGACAGGGCCTCTATCTTAGTCATATTTGCTGATTACATGGAGCTAAGACCTTGCAGCTACTCATCAATACTCTTAAAATCGAACTACAGTGTCTTTGTTCTCATTAATTTGAATTCCTTCAAGTTGACTGTACTTTCCACCTTGATCCTGAGTCATTTTTCCATATGGTCCAATAACTCAGGATGTCTGTGATGAAGAAATGCCTGTCACTGAGCTGTCCATTCTGCCAGGACTGGGGAAAGCAGAGGAGGGGACTTCAGATAGCCTGAGCATGACTGAGGCATGGCTTGGCCAATTAAGTACTTCATACTAGAATAGTCCGTGAATGCAATAGGACGGTGATGTAATCCATCACATATATTTAAAGTTGAATTTACCGATATTTTATGGTATTGGATATTATTTCTATTAACATTTTATGCTGAAATTACAGAATGATTCGTGAGTACTGAATTTTTGATTGCTTTTACACTTTCTGGGACACTATTAAACTTGATTTACGTTAATAGCACTGTAAGAAGATATTAACAATGAAATTTCCAAAAGCACTTAGCATCTCATAATTGGAGTTAAATGACAAAAAAAATGAGGGGATAATAAAGTAAAGACAGAAAAGGAGAGAGAAAGTTTTGACAATATTCTTTTTAACCTGTGGTTCTTAATAAGATTTTTGCAGGATTGTTTTAGGTTAGGAAGGAATCAAATCTCTGATCAAGAGAGATGATGCTGATTTATTAGAGGGGTTTTAAAGTATTGAATAAAGACCTTGCTCCAGGTAGAGAGTACAGAATTTACTACTTCTAGGAGAGAGAATTTCACGATTTCCACAGTGGGGAGGAAACTTCAACTACCACCTTTTGTATCTATCCATGGTGACTAGAAGATAATCAGATTTTTTAAATCAAAGGAATTGCTTTAGTTATAGCTGCTAGATTACACAGAAGTGGACATTTAAAGCAGAGACATCCAAGCTTAAACAATGATAACAAATTTTGCTGAGCCCTCACCATGTGCAGGCTCTATGTGAAGCCATTTAAATGTACAGTCTCATTTAACCTTTACATCGTCCCTGCGGGTTAGATGTTAGTATTATCTCCACTTAACAGCTAAAGAAACCGAGACTGAGAGTAGCTAAGTGACTTTAGCAAGTGGTGGCACCAAGATTTGAACCCAGGTAGCCTGGCTCCTGAGCAGGGCCTCAACCACCATGCTCTTTTGAGCATAACTAAGTTATAAGTAATCTGGTTAATGTCAAAACCATATTATACATGGCTTCCACTGGCTCTGGCTGCTTTTGCTTTCATGGGCTCTTTCCTCTCTAAAAGACTTCAAATTTCTATGTTATGACTGCACAGCATAAAGATGGATATATTAATATTAAAAAAAAGCTTCTTTTTTTTTTTTTACCAAGAAGTCTACCTTTTTAATGTTTAACACTTCGGTGGGCCCCTAAAAAAGACCATGGGTCCTGAGCAATGCAGCTACTATGCCTGCTGGAGATGTCGGCACATAGATGGCTGGTGTGATAAAAATAGCCAAGATGAGAATGTGAGGTCATGTAGCATCCTTTCTGATTACAACCAAATCCATTTCTAATCAACGATGGTAATGGAACAAATGGAAATAACATGAGAAAAGGATTGGGGTGGCTTCCATCTCCCTTGATTTTGGGGGACACATGGCTTGGGTGCTTTCCTGTTGTTTCACCATTGCCACTGCAGAAATGATGAGGTCTTTATGGGCTTGACCTTAATCAATATACAGTTGACCCTAGGCCAACATGGATTTGACCTGTGTGGGTCCACTTAGACATGGATTTTTTCAAATGAAAAAATACACTGGAAAATCTTTTGGATATTTGTGATAATTCAAGAAAACATTTGATTATTTCTCTCTTACTAGAACATTACTATTATATACTTATTGTAAGAATACAGTATATAATACATATAATATACAACATACGTGTTAACTGACTGTGTATGTTATTGGTAGGGCTTCGGTCCATGGTAGGCTCTTTGCAGTTAAGTTTTGGGAGAGTCAAAAGTTATATGTGGGTTTTAGACTGCATGGGGGTGTTCAGTACCCCTAATCCCATTTTTCAAGGATCAACTGTACTGTGGTTTAGTTTAAAACCAAACAAACAAATAAATTTGGGTCCTTAACTGATAATACTGCCTACAAACTAACAGACTACTAGTTAGAGATGGCCAGTGTTTTAGAGACAAGATGAGCTGCTTGGTCAGGATTCTGATCTCCTACTGTTTATGATGGGGGTGATTCCCTGGAAACATGGGGAAAAGCCAGTTAAACTCTTCAGTCCTCACTCACAGCAACAGACTGTAGTTTCTGTCCCAAACAGAAACAAACTTCATCCATTACCACTTCTCCCCAACCCAATAATGCCTCACTTGGCCCATTCTACCTAACAAATGAGCGGTTTCCCTGAGAAGTTGTTGAATCTCAAGTTTTGGCTCAGACTTGAATATATTCTGAATAAAAGAAGTAAGGGGAAAACATCGATTTTTAGTTTCCAAACTGTTACCGGACACTCACCCTAAATACGGGGTGAATCCAAACAAGAATAACGATGTTAGGGTTTAGTATCTGTTTTGCTTTATGATAAGAGTAATTTCAAGTTATCTTTGGGTGAACTGGATTCCTTGCATGAAGGTCCCTCAGTGATACACATAACAACCTGAATGAGATTTACGGGTAGACGTTATCTGAAATTCCTGTCTATTAAGGCAATGGTTTAAAAGGGAATAGGCATGCATATTTTATTAAGCAAGGAAAATGTTCCAGGAATCCAGGGTAAAATATTTCCCTTGTAGTTTTTAACTCATTTAAAATCATGTGATTTTACTGACTTATTTCTTTACAAGACTCGTTTAAACCAGAGGACAGATAACCAGGTATACAGCATTATAGACTGCATTTGAAAATTGGGCATTGTTTACCTGAAAAATGATAAAGGATGTGAATCTTGGATTCTCTTAAGATCATAGCTAACAAAAGGCAAAAAGTTAAAGGGTGACTGATAAGAAAATGACAGATGATTGAATGGATGGATACATGAATAGATTAATGAATAGATAGAAAAACAGATAGATGGATAATACAGATGAATGAATTAATAGAGACACAAATGGATAGACAAGTAGATGACAGATAATAGAAAGATATTCATAGATCAATACATGGTTAGAAAATGGACAGCTAGACGCACATGGGTGAATAGATGACTGGGAAGCAGAATAAATAGTTGATGTATAAATGAATATAGCTAGATGAATGGATAGATAGATGCTAGAGATTGATGAATGTTAGGATAAATTCAGAATGAAATTGTAGATGGATGTAAGGGTACACCACCATCAGGATTGTACCCAACTGGAATGGAATACAAATGAAGATAATGACATTTCTTTTCATGGAGCTATTTCTAAATAGTTTAACTATTTTGGGGGAAGTATAGGCTGGAGGCAAGAAATTAGTCCGTCTCTATGAGCCCTCAAGTTTCACAATGAATGTCTCAATGATGGGAAGAAGAGACGTGGGTGTGCCATGATTTATCCCCTTCTCTATCTTCCGTAACGCTCAGTCCTGGCCCATTTGGCCTCTGTGGTACACACTAGAACAGTGTGAGATGTGCAGAGCGGAGGAAGCGCAGGGCAGCCTCCAGGCTTCCTTGGTGACACATAAAAGTCATCCCTTTGCCTCTTGTTTAACTCTGATATTCACATATACCTTCGCTGGTCGACCTACTCAGGAAGGCCTGGTGCTGTAATTAATCCATGTCACAGGAAGATGTAGTGTCCTCAGAGTTTATGAGTGGGTTTGAGCTGCTGTGATGAGTATGGGCACCTCAGCCAGTGTGATATAAATTCCTCTGCTAATGGATTGCTGGAGCTAATCAGAAGCCAGAAAGGGAATAAAAACTCCACGTTCTTGCTGCAGCCGCTGCTGCTGGCTGATAAAGCAGACAGACCCTTTCAGGACGGGGTGCTGGAATTGAATCCTCATGTGGAGGTCTTACTCTAGATGGCTATCTCAGAGGCGACGCATCCCTTCTGTCACCAGGCCCGAGGAGACAGACGAAGCAGTGGGAGGAAAGAGCAGAATGATCCCAAAGAGATGTTGCTAACGAATCACAGAAACAGAGTGAACAGGGCAGAGATGAAAGGATAGGACATCAAGGTGGGGGTGGCCCTCCAATAGCCTCAGAGAGCCAGCAGCTTTTTCTGAAACGAAGTGCCACTCCCTGGGACTCCTGACCATGCCTGACGCCCACTTGGGGGTGCAGCTTCAGGAGGCCTGGTCTCCACAGCCAGGAGAAAGTCATCCCAAGCGTGCCCTTGAGCTGAAGACTGTGCCCACTTTCCAGAAGGGGAAAAAGCCAACGGGAGGATGCAAATTCCACTCGGTGCCAGGGCAAGTGCAGTTCGGGAAGCTCAGATGAACTGACCCAGCTGCAAGGAGGGAAGGAGGAAAAGGCCAAGGTCCCACACTTCCTGCCTGCTGGAAAACCGTGGGCACAGATCAGCTGACGGGGACGCTGCACCTGCTCCCAGGTTTCAGATGAGGGCAGAGAAAGCGAGCTTGTGTTCGGCATTCTGTGTTCCACCTCCACCAAGGATAAACGGTTCATTCCAGCTGCAAGAGTGAACCGTGTATATAACAGGGCCCTGGTTGGACCTTGGTGGTCTTTTTCTGTTCTTTGCTCGTCTAAGGCTCTACCACTTCTCCTTAGAGGGAAATGTATCCCTAATATATTTGGCTCCACCAAGCTGGGAGCCCTGCATTTATCTTTAAATTCCTCCTTTTGTCTTTTCCTGTGATCACCACTTCTTCGCCCCTATTTCTTCCGGTGCCCTCTCCATACGCTAAATCCTTAGCCATGATGAGTAGGCAGCCAGCCCCTCTTGCACACAACAAAGACTTCTATTTTTTTTTCTTTCTATCTTTTGGGCGACACGATAAAAAATAACCCTGTATTTATGCAAATTGCAAAGTAGCGTGTGATAATGAAAACAAAACAGCGCTGGCCCGCAGCCAAGACATGGCACTGACGGGGGCTCCCGACCATTTGGCTCTTGATGCTTCGGGGAGAGCAGCTGTAGAGAAAGGAGCACACACAACACCCTGGCCACACGCGCACTCCCACGCGCACACCCTCGTCCGCACGCATTCCGGTACCGTCACCTCGGAGCCTGCAAGCCCTGGGATCCGAATGAAGTTCTGTCTCCTACCGCCGCGGGCACTTCAGCGTCGTCCCCCACGAGCCTCCCTGCCCCCTGCCTGCTCCTGATTCCCTTTCAGGAATTTACAAACATTTCCCACAGATCAATATCTGTATTGATTATTCATTGTGAGTGAGTCGTGGGTCTTTGGTGATCCAGCCTGCAGAGGTAGCAGCCAAAGCCTGCTGCAGGGGGAAAAAAAATAACAGAAGGCGAGAAGGGCCCCGCTCGGTCTGCGGCTGGCTGTCGGCAGCACAGAAGCGAAGAGGAGCAAGGCGCTGCAAGACGAAGGCAGGCACAAGGGCGGATGAGAAAGCGGGAGCAATAGCAAGAAAGACGAAGTGGTGCCCGGACGTCTGGTTCCAGGGTTCTCCGTGGCCTGGAGGAAACCCCCATCTTGGGTCTGCTGTAGGTGCCACATGCAGGGGACTCGCTCTGGGAGGGCGAAGTGACTCACAGTTTTGGTATCTCCTACGTAAGAGCTTTGGGGGGTTCCTTGGCTTGCTGACAAGAAAGAAGAAAGCAGCAGTGAGGTACAACACGACTCCTTCCAACTGCCTTGCGGAGGATACGCAGTCGCTTGGTTTGCTGGAACAGCTTGCTGCTCTCTGATGGCACGCAGAGGGAGAATAATTAAAAAGGCCAGCGTCACTTACTAAGTGAGTAAATACAAAGCCGTTCCAAACGTGCTCTCCAGCTAATGAGAAGCTGTAATTTCTTATACTTCAAGGCAAAACAAGACAGTGATGGGGCTTAGTGGAGTGTGTGTTTGCGTGGATATGGGGGTGGGAGGTGGGGGGGTGGTGGAGATAAATCGACTAATTGTTGGCAATGTTTAAAAAAGGGATTACTGGAAAAGACAGTGAAATGATGACAGGAAAACATCTTGGACGAGAGCCAAAAAAAAAAAAAAAAAAATCGAGGCAAATCAAGTCTGCAGCTCGGAGAAAACACCCGTCGCTCCTGGCGGAGGCTCGGACAGGATTTGCCTGGTGTTGCTCAGCCAAATGTGGAATAATGTGCGGGCACCAGGGGACAGGACCGGGGACCACTGGAGTGTCCAGACGAAGGAACCATGGCATGCCAGGGCACACACTTATGGCATACTTTGAGAAAACAAGACAGTAAAAACCGACCTGTCCTGTCCTTTTAATCGGAGCTCCTGCTTGCTCAAAATTGCTTCAGTCTATTAAAAGCAACCCCTAAATGTGCCTTCTGATAACAGGAGCTGCTGATTCTGTTTGTCTCCAGGAAGCTGCTGCAATGTTACAGAAATACCCTGGGAAAAAAGGTTGAGGAAATTCAGTTTTCGGTAGGCTAGGCTTCTGGCAAATGTGCCAGGCACCTCTCTTTGCCATTTGGACGGCCATGTGGGAGCTAGTTTGGGATTCTTCTTATGTTGTCACCCAGCTGTGGCTTGGTGAGTCCAAAACCAGTCATGAATAGGATTCTTTGAATAAAGGGTTCCAAACACACATGACAAAGTGGGGACCCCGAGGAATAAAAGAACCGGAGCCTCCTCCTTCCTGGGTGTTCAGTTAACTGAGGTTCTTTTTCACATTGAGTGCAGTTTTTTGTTTTTTTTTTTGTTTTTTTTTAGGATTTCTGGGACTGCAAGGTCAATAGGTGCGATGTCTTCCTTCTGCCTGGGGTTTTACTCTTCTGGAGCTTCTTTATTTTGGACTCCCCAGTACATTGTAAGTTTCTTGAGCAAGAGAAATATATCCTCCTGCAGAAGAATGCCTTGGAGACCCCAAGGAGGAGGAATTAAGCCAGTTGTGGATGACTCGGGCACCTTACATTGCATTTCTTCAGCATTCATAAAGACCTATGTCTGTACTGTGTGTGTGTGTGTTTACAGTGTGTGCTCACATGTGTGTGGCTCTGCGTTCGTGTGTCTCTGAGAGGGAGGAAAAGAGTGAAGTCAGAAAAGACAAAATGTTTGGGCATTTATGTAATTCATGCAGAGAATGTTCAGTGCTGCCAGGCAGCTAGCCACCCATCCCTGGACTCTGCAGCTCTGAAGGGCCTGGACAGACCTGATCTGAATGTTAAATGCAGGGGATGAAATTAGCATATTAACCAAGGATGTCAACCCCTCCTTGCAATCAGTAAATGGCTGTCTCCTCTCTTTAAAACCGGCATCGCCATGCGCGCCAGCCACTTAACCATGTCCTCTGTCAGGTCCTTTTCTGTGTTTGTTTTTTTGTTTTTGTTTTTTGATGAAAGACTGGAAATTCATTAATGAGGAGGGAAGGAAGGGCTTCAAGGGGCTGTAATGAAAACAAATGATCCTCTTTAAACCTCACAGCGGCCAAATGCAGGGGGGCGGCGGTTGCTTTCTGCTCTGGGGCTGGAGAATAGGAAATTCCACAGACAACAGACCACTTGATGAGAGCCCAAGAATGCATTGTTTGGGAATTTCTTGTATGTGGCAAAGACCAGCCACGGCCAGTATGGATGTGCTAATAAAACTTAGAAGGAGCTTTATCTCCCTAATGCTAAAGTGTGGTCCACCAGATGTCTTTTCATTCTGCCACAGGTTATCAAAGTTTCTTGACCTTGTGAGGGTAGGAATAGCTCTCTGAAATCCTTTGGCCAATTGCCTCAGCTTTTGAAGTAATACAAATTTTTCTTTTGGGCTACATATTAGGCTTTTCCAAAAGGAAGTAGTGGCTTTTATTTTAATCTCTAATATACAAAGGAGCATACAAAGATTTGACTTCCACTTCTGTAGAGCCTCAAACTTAAGTAGACAGAATGCTGTTTAAGAGCTAGGAATCAGCCTCTCCACCCTCATGTCCCAAGAGGCATTAAATCTGTATGTTTAAATATCAAATACATACATTTTGAAATATTGGCTCAGAGTTTGTTTTTTCTTTATATGATCTATGGGTCAAATAAACCACATTTG